CTTATACCGCTGATTTAAAATTTGGAAGTTTTTTTGTTGCGAAACATCGTCACTCTCAGTTAATTCCTTCAACTAAAGTATTCTTTTTCCTCTTTTTCATTCGCGGTTATTATTTGCGGGGCGTTTTACGGAGAAGTGATTAACTCGGTTATTCGGCTTGCACCGTTAGTACACCAGCATCCACTGGTTGGATAGTGAACGGAAGAAGAATCATTTGTGATGGATTGCTCACCACACCAGAGTTTCATTGCCTTCTCGCCACAAGATCTCACTAATACAACCTTGCCAGTATTGTGTATTATTTTCAACCAGTAAAATGCATGTATTAGTGAAACTGCTCACTAATACTAACGGTGGTAGAGAACTCTATTGCCCACATGCTGCGCAACCCACCCGAGTGGAGAACTAGAAGCAGTCGAATACGAATTAGCCCTGATTATCATCGCCCAAGATTTAAATAGTGCTCCCAATGGCAAGGTGGATCAGTTGCTGAAGGATTGGCAGATGCCGAAGTATTGGTTTGCCCTTAACGATCTGCTGAACCGTTTAGGATTGGAAACTTAGTGCACTACGCTGGTGTCTTCAAGAAGGAAGTACTTCCCAAAGATTCCTTCGTCGTCTACAAAGGTCACCACGGTGATGTCGGATTGCAATTAATTATATGATTTGAGTAGTAGCTATACTGAAGATCCGAGAGATGTCGCCCCTTCAGTGGTAGGAAAGTCATTTTTGCAGTATTGAGAATATCAGAAAATCCACGATTTGTGACTAAACATGCTTTCACAGAAGGAAACAAATAAACGAGTGTTTACCTTATCACCATAGTAATGTACTCGTGCAATTTTTGTGCATCTAAAACTGCCCATAAATGGATAATGAATAAAAACTGAAAATTTCCATGCATTTTCAAATGGTTTCCTACCATTCCCATACATTCGAAGTGACTGGCCCTCTGGATGTGGATGATGTCAAAAACAACAAAACATGATTAATTGGCCCACACCATCCTGCCAGAAATATCAACGGCGCCGGTGGTGTAGTGGTAAGCGTGATTACCTCTCACCCCAGCAGGCCTGGGTTCAATCCCAGTCGGCGCCGCCGGGATGTTCTGAGGCATAACATCTCTGATCATGCCTTCCTTCGGATGGGAAGTAAAGCCGTTGGTCCCCGGTTCATGAGTTGATGGGTCGATAGGTGGTAGGGTCCAGGTGTGGGAGCTGCCTTCCTGGCACGTCGGTAGCATTGGTGCTCAGCACGGAAAACAAGATCGACGGAAAAAACAAACCAAAGGAAAAAAAAAAATCCTGCCAGAAGATATATACAGCGAGAAAAAAGCACCTACGTCAACACGGAAGGCCGCACTAAGGCAACCCTCGTTGCAGTCTCCCAGGGCTGGCCCGCGAAGAGTGGAAGATCCTGCCTACCATGTCAGAAATTTTAGGACTTTCTCTGCCTTAAAGATATCTGATTGGAAGATATCGGTTCGCACCTGATGATATGGTCAAACGAAAAAAAAAAAAAAAACTCTCGTATTGGACACATCAACTAAGAGATGTTCGGGGGCGTGCAAATCATCTTTCTCCACGATCAACAAATTCCAGCAGCTCTATGACATCATCCTGCAGGCAAATCATCTATTGTAATTTTCTCTAGAAATCAAATTAATGATTAGCATTGAAATATTTTATTTATTTAACAGTAAAAGAAAACAAAAATCAGTATCATCTTTCATGTATTTCCTGAATAAGTAACTCAAGCATAAATTCAAGTTATATGGGCATAACATGGATTTATACTCACTTCCGTATAAAGAACTTTTATACTAAGTATGTACACGGTAAGAAAAAAATACCTAAAAGTAAGTTCTTTTTACTCATCTCGGCACTAAAGTGCAGGAACCCGAAAGTAGGTAAAGCGGGTCAAAGTAGTTTTCATTTACTTGTGTGCAATTCGAATGGAATTTTCCATACTTTTTTCGTACCGTGTATTTTCTCCCTTTATACAGAGCTGTGAGTCGGTCGGGAGAGTTGTGATTTAGCGTAGCTTTTATACTATTAAGATTTGAATATTTTCTGAGCACCATAGTTCACCTGACTTTGACACTTATGGGCAAACGGACAGCGGTAAAACTGACGGAGGTATGACAGAATAAAACTTCTCACTCTTTCACACTTACATTGCAGTGCTGAATGGTAGAAAGAGTAGTCTCAACCGGTGGAAACTAACGATTTTAATTTGGTTCACTACTTGACTAGCCTATTGGTCCCAAGCAAATCGATTAACGTACCCCATTCTAGTCAACATTCTAGTACTACACTATGTTTGTTTTGATTCGCTATGAAAGTTTGACAGATAAAATGAGGGGTTTGTGAATTTTCCTATGTTTCGAGGGGTGCATCGATTAGCTTGGGACCGAAGAGGGTACTAGAGCTGAGCCAAAAAGTTGAGCACGTTTCTTTGAGACCTTCTTAGAGTTACCTCTATGGTAGTCTGTTGCAATCATCCCATTGATGTGAGCTATGCCGAAATTCTAGATTGTTGCCCCCGTAACCGGAACCTTAATTGGCAGCATCGAATATCTGAACTGGATTTAACTGGAATTTGCTCCGTTGATAATTCAGAAGAATCTACCGGCAGCTTCGGCAATCTCCGTCGAGAATTCAGAAAAATCCAGCGAAACTTTCAATTTCAGTTCAGTTGTCAGCATTGAAAATCTCTTTCGGAATCGGCTACAATCCACTGGTTGGCAGCATGAGAAATCTCTAGAATCGGTCAGGACCTGCAGGATTTCAAAATCACCAATGGCAGAATCGACTAGAAGCTCCTCCGTCGCCAACGTCAGAAAAATCCACCGGCAGCATCGAAAATCTTCACCAGTATTGACTGCAACTTGCTACGGCCGGCGACGGGTGAGAACTCCACAGGAATCACAGGACTTTCAAATAAACAAAACCAAACTTTGACTTTTCTGTCAGATTTTTCCAAACGTTAGAAGCGGTTAGAAAAATCTTAGAAGCTTTTAGAACACTTAGCGGTTAGCAACGGATATTTTGGAAAGGTTCAGCGTCTATGTTTTTTTTAATTTTTCCAGACCGCTTTTTCAGCGAAACCGGTTGTGCCATCCCCCAAGTAATTATAGGAAATAACAAGAAGTAGTAGGGTAGAGCACTACTTCGTCGTAATCGCCCATTTCCGTTCTATCGATCAGAAAAGATCAATAATATCAATGATTTCACCGTGCACAAATCAATAATAGGTTTGTTCCGATACGGTAGTTCATTAGCTACAACATAAATCCTGGTAGAGCGCATTGTATGAATATTGAATACTCATTATTCTCAAAACAAAAGAAGCGCTCCTAGTGAATCTCCTTTTTCTACGTTTATCCGTAGGACGAAGAAAATCTAATGGCGTTTCAATGCGTTTGGACGGAATTGAAACTCGTAGGACGGATTTAGAATCAAGAAGCAGTCTTAGATTTTAAACAATATCTCAACAATTTGTGACTCTTTATCAAATCCAACGGTACGTATGGAAAGGTGAATAAGTTTAAAAGTCATCTCTGAAAGAAATATTCCATTTTTTGTACAAACCCGTTCTTTGGGACGTTCTGGTTTTAGAGTTACCTCTATGGTAGTAGTAACATTGTAAAACGAAAAATGAAATTTGACTTCGCAAAGCTACCGAAATTGCGCCTTGATAAATGCATAAATTGAATACACCAAAAGTCTTTCTTTAATTAAAAAATCGTGAAACATTCACTTAACGCATGGAATCAACAGAGAGCATTCAGTAAAGGCTGATGAACCTGACGATTCCTTCCACAATCCATATATTTACACAGGTTCCTACACCGCAGAAAGTAATAATTTTGGGATTAACGATGATAACCGTTGCGTTTATAATGATTATAAAATGAGTTAACGGTAGGTTGAAGCTTTATCCGGTTTGTTGTGATGGTTGATATGTAGATTAGATTTTTGATCCGGTTGCATCCTGCTTTCAGGCAACCACTTGTAGTTTATTTTCTGCGCACGAAACCACTTTGGCGATGTGAACTTTAGCCCCTGATTTTATGGTTTTATGTAAATATGTTTTCAATGGATTCATAGGAAATTTCTTCAAAACAAGCTTTGCATTGAGCATGAGGAGCCAACAGCTGGCAGAACATTGTCGCAACTTGCGAACATTGTGTCAACCAACGACGACAGCTCCATCAGTCACTTGCATTCTTAGCCATCATTAGAAGCCAGTGCCAGTGCCCGTCAGCCAGAGAGTTTAATTTGTTTACAAAAATGGTGTCTCGGTGGGTGCTTATGCAAAATGTTACCGCCTGACATTTATCGGCGGTTGGTTGGCAGAATTTTACAGTCTCGCCGTGTGTTTTTCCCGAAAAGACTGAACACAGAACATGTGTCCGTGTTCAATCTCGAATGCGGATGACAATATGAACGAGCCGCACGCGCTCGTCGTGAGTACGTTTGACGGGTGACTTGGTGGGCGCGTGCAGATCCAACCACGATTTGAATGATGGATCCAACTTCTTCACGAGTCCCTTTCGAAGATTTTTGTTTTCTGCTTCAAGCTGTGGGAGCGGGAAAATTTTGGCGCGAGCGCCTCATCGACCGGCTTATTTAGTGAGCGCTGAATGCGCGCGCTCGCTGAAAGCACGTGGTGATCGACTACTAAGAGAAGATCTCTTCTCGCTGTCGACTACTGGCCATAGGCATCCAACAACAACAGTTACAGCATCCCCTTCTTCTGGCTTCCATAGTATATATAAGTATCGTCGATTGATGGATCCTAAACTTCATTCACGATAATTGTTTGATCGAGTTGAGATCGGTCTCGGGTCGGTCGGTTTCTTTTTGGGTCGGCAGGAGATTGTGATTTTTCCGGGAAATTTAAAATCCCGTTTGTGTTTGTGTTCTACGGAAGCTTTCGGGTTATTGAAGAACTTGGCATTATCCAAGTGAATCTGTAGATAAATGGACATTGATCGCTAAAAGTGACGCTACCGGTAGATTGTGGATCCGTTGCAATTGAAGAAGGACATTGTCAACAGTTTTATATGGAAGATTAAGTGACGATTTTTGAGCATAAAAGTCAACAGTCAACGATTTTCAGAGGTGACTTTCCGTGACTTGGTTTGACCCCTGGCGAATGGTGCGCATCTTCAGCCAGCAGCATAGAGTGTGAAAGAGAATGGTGAGTGTGTTTTTCGTGCTAAGTCCAATTGTTTGGGACCCACTATACGGGGGCGGTCGATGTCAAGCAGTGCGGATCCACTTCGGCGTGAGTCGAAAATCTCGATGGCTCAAAATCCCCACGCAAATGTGCAGTTTATCCATTTTTCTTCGATGCTACCCCAATAACTGCGCGGTTATATAAGACAGTTTGACCCCGTGGTTTTGCTAAGAGCCCCTGATGGACGATGATCCGAATCTGGCCTATGATGGCGATGGAGATGATGGGGTCCCCTACATGATCTATCTGAGCTGATCAAAACTGGCCTTATGGTGCGCGATCGCGGAAGAACTGGGTCTCTGGGAAAGTACGCTGTAGGTATCTATGCGTGGAATGGTCGTGCAGAGTGCCTTTCTTGTGCTAGGATGATCCATCAGCTTCCCAGCGAGTGAGAGGTCTTTCTCTCTGGATCCAGACGGCGGGAGTTTTGTTTTGCTTTTCCTTCTGGCGGGCTGTCGTCGCTATAGCCATTATGGCACATCGTCGTGTGTTCAAGAAGTTGTGAAGATACGAATCGACTGCAAATTTAAGACTTCGAATTATGTCACAGAGCCACCGCCGTCCTCGTCGTCGCCACCATATCGGTTGTTTCGAGGTTTCGTTTGGGATGACCTTTTGTCGTCGTTTTGTGTGAGCCACGGTACGCGCGGTTGCATTATGTGCGGTGATAGTATTTATTGGAAATGAAGAAGACACTCGGTGAGCTTTCGGAACAAGTTATGGGAATTGGCTCGTGCAACTATGCAGTGAGATTTGCGGTTTTCGGGTTGACTCTATTTTTGGAAAAGTGCACCAATGAAACCAAAGTGAAGTTCTATGTGCAGCGTTGGTTTTGGAATTGAAGCATCTTGAGAGGGTAATAAATCAAACTTTGCATTCAAGTGACACGACGACGACGACGACGATGGATGGTTGCCGGTGGTGATGCTGAGTGGCATTTTCTGGAAAATCTGTGCTGAAAATTTGAAATGATTCTTATGTAAATTGAAAGTGGTGGACGTTTTATGAAAGCGGCCATCTAATCCAACTCCACGTCGATCAGTGCTTCAATTACTTCAATTACAAATTATTATTAAGATATTTACCTTGTAATATTCTTCTCAAGTCCGAGATTTTAAAAAGATTTCGACAAATTTTAACCACCAAGATCTTGTTAAAAATGTTCAGAAATTGAATTTTTATAATTTGTCTACACATTAAGAATATTTCCTAGATTTCTGTAAAATTTTACCGAAACATAAACAACTAAAAGTTCGGTGATTTATCACAGTTTTGCTGTAATTTTTCACAGATAAAACTGTGTAAATTCACGGAACTGTTTACCGAAAATTCAGCTGTTGAGATTTTGGCAAATTTCATAGAAATTTGTGGCATATTCTGTGGGTGTGTTCTAATAATTTAAAAAAATCCATATCTGATACCAAAAACTGTTTTGCGTCCAGGATCATACACATTTTCAGCCAAGTTTGTAAAGTTCAAAGACATTGATATACATTATTTTCGTGTTTTGTATTTTTTTGTTATTGGTCTAGCATCCTAAAATTAATCCCACTTGAAATGATTGATAATTTACTCAGTCTGGAATGTTTCAATTCCAAATATGATAGTTAAACAAAATATCAAAGTCTGTTGATTAATTTTTTAACAAAGTGTAAGTGCGCCAGTTTTGGTCCTAGTGGTCCTCTAATTGGCCCTATTTCAAATTACATTTTGCCGAAATTTATTTAGATGCAAGGTAAGAACATGTATTTTGCCATATATCTACGGAAACAAAATCATGATAATTTATTTCAAATTTGAGTTTGGATCTAAGGCTAAAAAGAGGGGCCCAGTGCCATAACTGGCTCCTATACCCTATCTAGATTTGCTTTACCTGAGATCCCAAAATTCAGTCCCCAACCATCGATTTTTTTTTTCGAAATATTGTTTTTGTTATTTTGCCTTGTACACTTTTCCATTCTGAGCCAAGGTTGCAAATACTCATTTCAGCTAAAACAATGTTTTTTTTTTTAATTTATGAAATAATTAGATGCCATGATCATATTTTGAATTTGTAGGATACAAGAAGAAGTTGCAAAGTATGTGTTTGACATATTAAACCTGTTTATTTCACTTCATGAGAGTCACAATCATTGATTTTTCACACACTCACTCACTAACTCACTCACTCACTCACTCACTCACTCACTCACTCACTCACTCACTCACTCACTCACTCACTCACTCACTCACTCACTCACTCACTCACTCACTCAGCGATCAGAAAATCGCTGATTGTGACTCATAGAAAGTAAAATTAACCTCCTCTTGTAAGTTACAAGTAAAACATGCCATCATACCATCTTTTGGTTTTATTATTCCGAAAAACATTATTTTAATTAAAATGAGTATTTGCAACCTTGTCTGAGCAGTGCTGTCATGGTAAATTAAGGGCTGGTTACTCGTTAAATTTTCATATGTGTGCCCGACCACTTAAAAATATGTGTGCCCCCTTTCATGAGCACCCATAATTGTAATGTAAATACATGTAAACACAATTAAGTTCCCTCTCAGAACTTCCCCGAGCTTCACGTAGTTTCTGTAAAGACCTCTATGCTTGTTGTGAGATTCTTTGGACTTTAAATCAAGAGCAAATTTTCATTATGTCGTAAGTAACATCCGCACCAATCCGAGAAAAATAAAGTTTTGTTTTGATGACCGAAAAGTTATTCCTATTTTCAAGTAAACACATATAATCTCATAGTGATAGCAATGTTTAACATATTTAGCAGGGTTTTAATCATACAAATGCAAATCGCTAGCTTTCATGCTAAAAAATACTGGTTTTTGAGTGAAAAGTTATTATACGTCGTTTGGTGGCCCCTATTGTTACTTAAGTCAAAGTGTATTTACCAGGATATTCGGGAGAATTATCAATTACGTCTCCTTACGTGCAGCCCATTCATCATTTTAGGACCACCGAAATCATCTTAGCAACAAACAGATCGATTTATTCATTTTAATAATGAGAAAGCAAAACGACGAACGTACACTTTTCACGGTTTTCTCAGCGCTGTTACTTAAGTCAAACGGCATCTCCATAGAAATTGGGTGACTTAAGTAACATCGAAAACTATTTTGATCGGAAGGTGATTACGTCAAAAAGCAATTTGACTGGTAAATAAATTTAAAAATGGGATTTGATCCTATATTCCGACAGTATATAGTGTAATAGCAGGAGAATCGATTAACACTGATAGCTCGACTTTGTTTACCTTTGTTACATTCGACGTAATGAAAATTTGCTCTTGAAATGCTCTCTGGATTTCCTTGAAATTCTTTAAATTTCCCAGAAGCTTTCTGGACTTTCCAGAAATTCTCGTGAATTGACAGAAATTCTGTGGACTTTCCAAAAGTTCTCTGAGCTACCCTGAAGTCGTCAAAACTTCTTAAAAGTTCCCAGATTTTTTTCCTGAGGTCAATGAAAGGGTATAAAAGTTCTTTGATCGTCCCTGGAGTATGCTAACGAAATTTCCTTTAAAATCTCTAAACATTGTTAACTTCTATGGATTTGGCTTAACTTTCCCAACGTTTACTAGAAGCTCTCTTACCGTGATTTTCCTGGCATTTTCTAAATTTTTTGAAGTACGCTGGACTTCCCTGAAATTCTCGGGCATTCTCTAAGGTTAATTTAAAACCAAATAATTTACGCAGCTTCAGAAAGTTTTCGCAATTTTGTTTGATTTAAATAATGAAACTGTCCTGAATTAATCGGAACTAATTCTTTAAGATTTTTAAACAACTGTAAAAGCATAAACTTTCCAATACATTTAGAGCTTCCATGAAGTTATTGTGAAGATCTATTTTTCTGAATTTTTCTCTTTTGTTTTACGGATCTTTCTTTAAAATCTCTAAACTTCTTTGGACTTTCCTGAAGGTTTTAGAGCTTGCTGAATGTTCTGGCGGCCATGATCCTAGAATTTATGGATTTTTTCCTGAAAATCAATCAATTTTCTTGAAGTTCTCAGAACATCTCTGAAATTAAGGAAATTTCCCATAATTCCTCGGAACTTCTTGCAAGTTTCGGTAACTATCTTGGAATTAATGCAACTGCTCTTAAGTTATCTGATCTTCCCCAAAGTACTCGAAACTTCGCTAATGTTAATGAAACCACCCTTAAAACCTCCAAACTTCTATTATTTTTTTCTTAACTCATGTGATTGCCATAGTAAAGGTTAACAAGCTTGTTATTTTTGTGATAAAATTGGTGTTTTTATCTGGCACATATTCAACTATGAATTTACCCTATTTTGTAATTTTATTACTCTTCTATCTTTCTTGAATCGCTGCCAAATTAACCGCATCAACAATCTGATCATTGTCATAGCAACCACATATCAAATTTTCAGCCTTTGAACAGCTAGAACCAAAGTTAGAGCGATATAAGTGAATTTTAAATTCTAACCAAGGTTGCAAAGACTCATTTCAGCTAAAATAATGTTTTTCGGAATAATAAAACCAAAAGATGGTATGATGGCATGTTTTACTTGTAACTTACAAGAAGAGGTTACAAAGTATGCGTTGGAAACATAAAACCTGTAAATTTTGCTTTCTTTGAGTCACAATCAGCGATTTGCTGATTGCTGAGTGAGTGAGTGAGTTTGTGAAAAATCGCTGATTGTGACTCTCATGAAGTGAAATAAACAGGTTTAATATGTCAAACACATTCTTTGCAACCTCTTCTTGTATCCTACCAATTCAAAATTTGATCATGGCATCTAATTATTTCATAATTTAGAAAAACATTGTTTTAGCTGAAATGAGTCTTTGCAACCTTGATTCTAACATAGTAATTACCATACAAATTTACATTTGGGCGACCTCTAAACCTTCATCAAACCATTTTTTGCACAGACTTATGTTTCGAGGTTATTAGTCAAACTAGAGGGTAGCCTATAATAAATCAAACATATTTTTTTCAA